ATTTTCCAAGGCGCACACCGGTCCGCGATTTGCACATGGCATTCAAAATCCCGTACGTATATGATTACATAACAAAATTATGCAGGCAACAAGCAGAAGTCATACAAAATCATGATAATGAGAATGTTCGCAACATCGGACAAGGCGAAGCCCGACACAGAAAGTATAAGAGGCTTAAACTTGGCGGCGGTCAGGCATACGACCGTTCAAGTGAATAGACTGCCGTGGTAGCTGATACTACTAGGAAATATATATATATATACACATATATAAAGGGCATAATCTGCTGTACCTAGCCTGGACTGACAGAGGCCGTGTATATATTGTACATAGAAGTAAGGAATAAGTGTTTATTTGTAAATGTATGTAAATACAGACAATGGACTTAATACAGACTGACTAACAAATGACAGACCCGACCTCTCGTCAGAGAGGGCGCTACACATAGACAAGACAGTAACTTTCATTCAAAAGAAATATCTGGTCATGAGCCCCAGCTGGGGCTCGACACCAAGACAGACAGACTGACTGACCGTCAGTTGCAACGTGACTCAGACTCAGACTCAGCCGAGTCACGCAGTTCACCATCAGTCTACGAGCTAGCCACACTAAGCAGCATCAGCCAGTAGGCTTCGTCGCCAGCGCTCGGTCTTCGGAGGCATCGCAGGCTGCGCCAGGCACGACTGCCTCGGCCCTCCGGTGCTCTCACACCCGACTCACTGGGGCACCGTGCCTGGACTCGCTGGTGGTCGTGTTACGGTCCGACCCACTGGGCATCTGGCGTAGCCACTGCCTCATGGCTCCTACGACCACGCTCAACGACTAGCCTTTCATCTTACCGGCGCGCGCCACGCTACCTCACCAGTCAAGCATCTCAGCAGCCACGGTCCTTTTCAGGGCCAACAAACCGTTCCGAAGAAGTGGGTTGTCATAGGAGTAATGACAATACTACACAACAAGAGCCCCACACATGTATTCTTCACAGACAAAGTGCAGTTTACAAGGGATGGCTGGTTCAACTGTTGAAACAGCCATGTTTGGGCTGACAAAAACCCCAACATTACTGTAGTTGGTTACCATCTGGCGCAATTTTCTGTCAATGTCTGGGCGGGCATCATCGGCGATCACTTGATTGGGTGTTTCCTCCTACCACCACGACTCAATGGGACCTTTTACAAGGTGTTCCTGGAACGTATCCTTCTGACTTTGCTAGAAGACATGCCACTGATTGTGTGGAGGCAAATGTGGATACAGCATGACGGAGCGCTGGCACACTTTGGCACTGTATCAAGAGACTACCTGGATACTGCTTTTCATGGTCATTGGATAGGAAGAGGAGCCCCAGTGCCTTGGCCACCCCGATCACCAGACCTGACGCCTCTGGACTATTTCATCTGAGGCCATGTGAAAAGCCTGATCTATGACATGCCTGTGGATAATGAATTTGAGCTACTGGCCAGAATACTTGTTGCATGTGGCGTGATCTGTGAGACACCTGGAATATTTGAAAGGGTGTGCCAAAGTTCCTTTCGTTGAAGTAACGCATGCATTGAAAATGGAGGGCGCAAAGTTTAAACAAAATATTAAATGTCACCCTAGTGCTGCTATTTTACGTTTGTGGACATGGGTTCATATTTCAGAGTTGTTCTATAGGGAACCCTCAGTACACTCCTGAAGTATGGCAACAAACACCTGGGACACTCTGTACAGAGTCCCACAATCACATATAAACCTTACTAAAGTTTTTCAGAGGCAATTTTTATGTTGTACCATAGTGTTTTCAAGTACAAATGCTATGACTATCAATGACCTTTGCCACTAGTTCAGCTATTCATACCTTGGAAAGTGACCTTGTTCCTAGCCCTGCTCTTAGTAGTGGATAACTTTGTACTCTTGACACCTGATAATCCAGAACACTGAGCATCACGCACAGCTGCCCAATATCTTGAGGAGTACAGATTCACATCTGAGTGAGGAGTTGTATATGATGGTGAGAACTGAATGCATCGAGAGTGATGATTATGGGTTGGCGATGAAGGTACTGAACCCCAAGTTGGTCTCTGAGTCATGGAACAACTCCGATACATCTCTGATGTGGGCTTCCAGGAATGCCTCTTCCGTGCATCTGAATACTCATATGTTGCATGTGCAGGAATAGAGGTAAGGGATCCTCGATACCGCGGTATACTTGGATAACATTCTATATGAGCTTTGTTTGTCATACTTCCATAATGCATTAAGTTGTTATGTGCACAGCTGCAGTGTGTCCAAGAATCTTTGCCATATTCTCTAGAATGTAGGTACCCAGGTGACACTAAATTGTCAGTTAAGTGGCCCGTTTCTGTGTTCTTCATGTACGAGTAAGCACGAGGATAATTTCTGCACAACTCTGATGCAATATTAGTGCCTTGATCTGAACCTTCTGGTTCCACACCCTCCTGACTCAAATGATCTGCACTTCGGGAGAGTTCTGGGACCATGCTAGTGAAATTAATATCTGACAGAAGGGTACGTCTAGCTTCCTGAGTCTTGTCTGACAGTCTGAGGGAGTATTTGCTGTGTGCTGTCTGCTGCATAGGCAAAGCAAATTTGGAGGGCAAAGTGGTGAAGTTGTGGGAAACTTTGTGTGCCAAATAACTTTCAGATTTCCAGTGGGAGGGAAGAGCTGTGATATCAGTTTGTGCCTCTGACTCCCGTTTAGAAGCATTCCTTTCTACAAGAATTGGTCTCATGGGAGATTTTCTGTATTCATGTTTTCCATTCCTGTGACTCTGTCCTGCTGGAGAAGTAGCAAACTTGACAACCAGAGGTCTTGGACTGGCTGGAGCCAGTCCTAGAAGTTGACTCTTACTTCCTGCGAGAGCTTCTCTGTGAATGATAGGTTGGTAAACCAAAGGATTCGGCATGGTATTCCTACGTGACGTACGTCCTGGAATTTCAGTTTCATCCACAACTCCACACTTTGAAATGTCTGTCTCAACCAACACAGATTGTGTCCACATCTTAGACAAGTTAGATTGAACTTTGTCATTATCATTATCATTTTCATCTCCAGGCTTTTTGTCTTTGCCATCAACCTCCAAAGCATCTTCAGTTGCCTCATCAAACTGATCTGTTTCAGCAAACTTGAGAAGAACTGGTGTTTCACTGGGTTGCCATGCATCTGTATCTGTGATAGATACCAAGTCTTCCTGCAGAACTCCCAATTCTTTGGTCTCTTCAGTAGTAAAAATAAGTTCAATGTCATCAAGTTCTTCTGAGTCATTATCTGACTCTCCTGCTGTCTTGCTTCCTTGGGGTGTTCCAACTTCATGCTGACTTGTTTCACTGCACAATGACTGGTCTTCTTCTGACATAGATCTCATGCTTGGTTCCCTGTGATAGGATTTCTCTGGAGAATCACCTTTCTCTTTTTCTGAATGATCCTCTCCTGGCTGAACAGATGTTTCAACCTCTTCAACAGAAGTGTCATTTACTACCTTCTGACTATCCTTAACTTCTTCACATTTAGGTGGCTCCATGTATTTTGTATCAATTTCTATTGCCTCTAATCCTCCTTTAGCCAAAACTTCTTCAAGCTGCTGTATGTATTCTGGAGCTCCGTCTCTGTTAAGAACTCTTTGCCGCAAAATATGATTTTCTAGAGACAGTTTCTCAATAGTTTCAATATACACATTGGAGTCAACGTGATTCTGAACTTTGTCACGGAGAAGCTGCAGTTCTGCACGAGTGTTGTCCAAGGCAGCACGGAGAGATACTACTGTCTGATGAAGTGCTCTCACTGTTTCCAGATTCTGCCACCTCTCTGGAGCCAGCTGAGCAAATAATGGCCCACGCTTACTAATATCCATTTGGTTGCTGTATTGCTCATGTCGAAGTTCCACTGGACAATACTATGAACACACATCAGTTAAAGAGAGTTACAGCATCACCAACATGGTGTGTGAAATCAGAAAAAAAAAACGACATGATGCAGCTGATTTATACCAACAGCAACATGAATTATGAATTTCATGATTTATCTATTGCCATTTATAATAAGGCATTTGGTCCGTGTGATGACAGCCTGAAAAGAAGAGAAAAGTTCTACTTAAATAGGTAAAGACTGTTTTTACCTGCATCACCTTACCCTACAGTATTTACTACATTAAATACACCAATAAAAATAATTAAGAGTTCTACCTTCGGGGATGTGATGCCATATACTCTGGTAAAAAATTACTGGTGTCTTGGAGTAAGGCTGCATGCTTGATTGCTCGGCTTACTCTACGAACCTGAAGATGGAAGTAGTATATTTCTCCAAAATGTTGATAATCTTCTATAAGACTACAGGGAATCACATCCCAGAAAACAGTCACTGCTATGAGAATCTCAAATCTCATATAACAATAATGACTTTCACAGCCCATCATTTCATGATTTAAATGAATTATTTACGTAAAGCTGCTTAACAGTCAACACATTCTTCCCAGTGATGCCTTATTCAGAAAGAACATGAATACTAATTGAAGTTGCTCATAATTTAAAGCAAGAACAGTCATGCCATATGGCCTAGGTTGCTACAAATATTGCTGAAATAAACAAACAACAAAACAAGTCCTGTCCTATTTTCAGCACCATGTAGTAACCGCTTGATATGACCAGAAATCTTCCAATTTCACACTCCTGTTCTCTTTGTTGATGATACTAGTATAATAATCTTTGAACCTGATGAAAGCAAGTTTGTTAAATTAATTAATATGCATAATATTTGAGGTTTTCACAGCGGCGACTACAAAGAAAGCAGTCTTCTTGGATGTGATGCTGTGTAGATATTGTGTTAACCGACGTTTCAGAGGAACATAGTCTGTTAGCACCTGCTCATGCTGGTTCCTCAGTTGCAGATTTTCTTCTTTTTTCTTCTACCCTGAAGATGAAGGCGATACGTTCCTCCGAAACGTCGGTTAACACAATAGCTACACAGCGCCATACCGCACAAGACTGTTTTCTAATTAATATGCATTCACATTTCCCGAACATGGAAATTTCCAAGAGACCAATACTATTTAGCTGTCCCCTCAAGGTCCAGTGGTCACAGAACAATTATGTTAACAGCCTACACTGTTTCCTATCCAAGACTGGTAAGTTCCGTAGACAGTTTTTCCAAAGCCCCGTGAATAAAGTGCTTTTATTGCCTCATACCAAGAGGAGCTGTCAGTGTTCTGAGTGCCATTCCTTCAACTCTTTAACCTCATGCCCAACGATGCATGTGTGCTTAACTCAGGGCTAAATCTTGATTTACTTTCTTATGGAGCTAAGCCCTTCTTGAGAAGAAGCCAAATATGCAGCTACTCGAGAATTTCCCAGCATTTTATGGAACCCGAAGGTTCACTACTGTGTTCACAAGAGCCCTCCACTGATCTCTATCCTGAGCCAGATCAATCCAATCCATACCATCCCATTCTATCTCTCTAAGATCAATTTTAATATTGTCCACCCACCTATACCTTGGTCTTCCCAGTGATCTCTTTCCTTCTGGCTTTCCCACCAATATCCCATATGCATTCCTTTAATCCCCATTCATGCTACATTCCCTGCCCACCTCATCCTCCTTGACTTGATCATTCTCATTATACTTGGAGAAGAGTACAAGTTATGAAGCTCCTCATTCAGTTTTCTCCAACCTCCTGTGGTTTCATCTCTCTTCGGTCCAAATATTCTCCTCAACACCCTGTTCTCAAACACCCTCAGTCTATGTTCCTCCCTTAATGTCAGAGACCAAGTTTCACATCCATACAGAACCAGTGGCAAAATTATAGTTCTGAATATTCCAATTTTTATGTTTTTGGATAGCAGACGGGAAGAAAAAGGTGCTGGACTGAATGGTAGCAAGCATTACTTGAGTTTGATCTCCTCTTAATTTCCTCCTGAATCAGGTTTTGATTTGTTATCATCGTTCCCAAATATCTGAACTGTGCCACATTTTTAAAACATTCTGTCAGTATGTCAGGATTTTGCCCTGCATTTTGGTGACAAGACAGCAACATATACTTAGTTTTCTCTGTGTTTACTTCTAGACCAACCTCCTTACTTGCGTCAATTAAAGTTTGTGTGTTTTTCTTTATGGTATCTGCATTATCACCCAGTAGATTCAAATCATCGGCATAGACCAAAAGCTGATGTGTCCCGTTTAATTTCAGTCCCACCTGGTTTCCCTGGACCTTCCTAATGGCATATTCTAAAGCAAAGTTGAAAAGGAGTGGAGACAGAGCATCTCCTAGTTACAGACCATTCTGGATAGGAAATTTATCAGACAAATATTTACCTACACGGACTTTACTATACATTTCATTTAAAAACATTTTAATCAACCTACCTAGTTTTATGGGTATCCCAAACTCTATCAGAATACTGTACAATACTTCCCTCCTAACTGAATCATAGGCTTTCTTGAAGTCTTCGAATAGCTGATTTATTGTCTCAATGTACTCCAATTTTTTCTCAAATACCTGACGAATGCAAAAGATCTGATCTGTAGTTGATCTGTTACGTCGAAACCCACACTGATGAGCCCCAATAATTTCATCTATGTATGGACTTAACCTTGAGAGAAGAATATTGAATAAAATTTTGTATGAAGCTGACAGCAGTTATATCCCCCAATAATTGCTACAGTGTGTTTTATCACCTTTCTTGTTAACTGGTAAAATAATAGACTCCTTCCACTGATCAGGCAATTTTTCCTAATGCCAAAGAGAAGTAATTAGCTTATGGATCATAGAACATAATATTTTGCCTCCTGCTTGAATAAGTTCTGCCGGAATTTGATCACTACCTGGAGATTTATACCTTTTCAATTTTGCAGTAGCAATTTCAACCTCAAAATGGCTGGTATCGGGTATTAACGGCTCAGCTGTGTGCATTTCTATCTACCTAACATCACTGACTCTATGTACATTCAATAACTGAGAGAAGTACTTCTTCCACCTATTCAAAATGTTGTGGGAATATGCAAGCAGATCACCATCCTCATCCTTCGCTAAGTTACTTCTAGGTTCGTAACCCCTCTTTAAAGTCATTTATTCCCTTGTATAGGTCTCTAATGTTCTTGATCTTACTGTTCATTGCAAGCTCATCGATTTTGTCTTTCAGATACTCCCTCGTTTCATTCCTGAAATTCCTGGTTTCACATCTTATGTTGTTCAGATTATCCCTATGTATTTCACTTGGATCCTGTAACCAACGCAATTTGGCTTGTTTTCTTTGGTCTAGTAATTCTGAGCATCCTTCATCAAACCATGACTTATGCTTCTTTAGTTCCTAATAACCTAGACTCTCCTTGGCCGCGAACCTATTTGAGATTCCAACACAATGCTGCTCTTTAACCTCTACCTCATTTAATTTTTGAGATTGAACCTCCCCATATGAACTCTGTGCGTTAATTGTTTGCTCACTGCCAGTCTTTCCCTAACCTTTGCCACCACCAGGTAGTGGTTAGTATCACAATCTGCTGCCCTGAATGATCAGACATCAAGTATACTTGAATGCCGTCTCCTATCTATCAAAATATGGTCAATCAGATTGTGTATCTTCCCATCCGGAGATGTCCAAGTAAATTTATGGATGTTACGATGCGGGAACATTGTACTTTTGACAGTAAGATTTTTGATGCAACGAAGTTTACTACTCTAACTCCATTATCATTAGTAATTTCATGCAAACTCTCATTCCCAATCGTTGGTTTGAAAATGTCTTCTCTCCCTACTTTGGCATTGAAATCTCCTAACAAAATTTTCATAGGGTACTACAGCCACTTGCCTACGTAGCTGCCACAACTGTCACTCGGGTTTGGTTCTTCGTCTCAGGGATACCGGTGCTTAAGATATGGGAGTGGAACACACATCGGAGTTAATGAATCACGGATTCTGCAGAACACACCTTGTATTATTGTCTACATTAATATTGCTAACAGTGATAGTACATATTACATTAGTCCTCCAGGCCAGCCTCTCCGACTCTCTTAACTTTTGGCACTGGCCACATCAATTCGCTCCTAGCTCGCCGACCGTACACACTCGCTAACCCCAACTGTCTCCTAATTCTCTCTTCAGCGTTTTCTTTCAACCACAATCCGCCTCTCACACACTCTAATCTCATTCTCTGTTCAGCGGCTTCTTTTAACTACTCTGCAGCACTGCTCCCTATCACTGACTGTAATACCATTCCCTCTTCTGTGGCCCCTTTCAACAACTGTACACCTCCCTTCCTGATCATCCTCTCCGTCTTACAAGTCCCACAGTGGCAACAAAATAATAAAAAAATGAGAGATAGCTTTCTATCATAAACCCTTTTAGGTCATAGCCCAATTAAATAATTTCCACCAAGGTATGTACGGTTACAGTACTTCAGGAATTTATCAAATACATGTTCCAGTTCTTCATAGAACCTGTCCTTTATGTCATCCATTTTATCTTCTGCTGGGGCGTGAACATTCATAATGATGATATGACACCAGCGACCTTTTAGTATGATATATGACATCTTATCACTAATGAACTCTACCCTCTTAACTGCTGATATGATTCTCTTATGTACGAAAAAACCTGTACCTAATTCATGATTTTCATTCCCCTTTCCATAGAAAAATGTATATTCGCCTGCTGATTCAATGCCACCCCTGTCCCATCTGACCTCCTGTACCCCCACTAAATCTAACTTGTATTTTAAGATTTCTTCTGCCACTGCCCTGAGCGAACCTGCTCTATTCATACTCTGAACATTCTATGTACCAAATCTCATATCCATAAATCTTGATTTACAACTCTTAATTTGAAACGGCGATCAAACTGTGTCATTGTATGAAGACAGGCAGGAGAAGACTGTTTAGTAATATAAAAGATCACACTGCATACCAAGGAAGTGCTAAGGTTCATTCCCTCTGCGATAATGAAGATGACAACCAAACTGTAAAGCCCTGGTATAGCAGAAAAATATTTTTTCTCAAAAACCATTCAAAGCAAATGACTGAGTCCTTGTGGGTTCATTAACAATACTTCAATAATTCCCTTTGTATAAGAAGACTGGCAAAGCCCAGCAGCAAATTACTGCTCTGCTCAGATCAGTGACAGAACTTCCAAGCATTCATCTTGTCAAAGAGGCCACATTTTAAAACATACAAATATCTCGAAAAGAATATAAATATGGTCATGGGTCCAGACTGGGCCCAAACCAAGAATGACTGTACTGGCAAAGGCCAAGGCATGTACAATGAGTGAATTTAATTTAAAATCTTACTTCTTTGCACTTTTACTCAATGCATTAAATGTGGTAAACACAAATCATATTCTGTGGGATAATAACCTATGAAGCAAAATGTTATTGTACTATTACTTTTTATGGATATGAGTGTAAAAAACTTCAGATTCATGACAATGAAGAAGGGGAATTAGCCTGGCCAATAGAAAAAGCAGCCAAGAGAACAAGGCTCTCCTTCAGGGATAAAGGTCTCGGCTGGAGCTTGGGTCTGGCCAGGTGCAGTCAGGACAGTGGTGGGGCTCTTCCACTAAGGGAGTCTCTTGATAGGGGTGAAACAACTGATTATCACAAAGAAGGATTATGAAGGCCAATGAAGAAGAAGACTAGTAAAGAAATGAATGCTCTTTTTAAAATATCTGAAAACTTGGCTGTGGCTTGGCTACATGCCCAGATGGGACCAGTGATGGGGGCTCAGCTGTTCATCAGTAATTGATAATGGATTGCTACAGACACATTGCTGTTAGAAATGCAAAAAAAGTTCTTCCTTCTGTACTGGAGGTCTCAGCTGTTAAGTCTTCTGCTGCTGTGCATGCAGCTGCCAGTTCTCAGTGGCTGTGATGAGGGGCCATATGAATAAGGCTGAAAAGAGGTTTCTTGAGGAAGGAGGACGAGCAACCTGTCCATCAAGAAGAAGACAGGTCTATTCACTCTATACATAACATCGATGACAAGGAATGGATAATCAGCTGACTTACAGAATATTTTCATATGTATTTTAACTAGTTCATGCCATATGTCACCTACAGGCACTAGCAAAGTCTGCAGGAATGTTTTGACATCTTGGTGGCTATCCCTGCTGGATGGTGTAAACAAGCTACCATCACATCAGATTTTGGTAGGCAAGGGACAAAATGGGTAACAAAAATTAAGAGGGGGCAGGGAACTAGGCATCTGACCCCACCCGAATTTTTAAAGAATAAAAAGTTAAAAAATAAAGAATTATTTGAAATATTAATATTAACAATTAAAAGTACTTTTAAAAATCAGTAAATGGTTTAAATATAAGTTTGTAATCTAATTTTTGGTCCATTCCATGTCAGCGACATTACACATGGTGAGAATAGACCTTAAATATCTATCCAGCAGAACAAGCTGGTCAGAAAGATGAAGTCCCTTCTCAAAGAAACTGTGGTTTGACTGAAAGTTTGTTGTGGGTTCAGTGAGGACCAGAGATGGGAACTCAGCTGTCCCTGCCAATGAATGACAAAGAGAAGCTGGGATACCCCACTTGAAAAAGTGTCTTTGAAAAAGTTATGTATAATAGACTACTTGAACACTTAAATTCTAACAACATATTAGTCAAAGAGCAATTTGGATTTAGGAAAGACCTAACAACAGAAAAAGCAACCTATGAACTAACTAACGATATTTTAAGTGCTCTCAATGACAGATTAATTGTGGGAGGGATTTTCTGTGATCTAGCAAAAGCTTTCGATTGTGTTAATCATGATATCTTAC